GCATAGTTGTTGCTTTTTGACTTCATTAGCAGACTGAATGTTCCTTGAAAGTCATGGCCATGTTGTGACTCTGTCAGCTTTGGCATGTTTTTAAGCAAGGCAATAATTTTATTATTGTTGGGAAACAAATGTTTATATGGAAAAGGATCTGGCATTATTAAATATCTCTTACAGTCGGGTATAATGTGAGCCTTTTTCCTTATGCCATCTTATAACTCACCAGATTAAGTAGGTTTTATGGTATTCATTCAATTCATGAGAACTTAGTGACCAAAATTTTTAGCTTTGATTCTGTGTCTATCAGACGCCAGTCAGGCCTGGGCTGTTTGTCAGCCATGGTTTGTCTGTTTCCTTGCTTCTGTGGTCATTTTGGCTGGGCAGTGAGTAGACTGAGCCCTCATCTCTGTCCCCCAGGAGACTCCTACCAAAGCCAGGCCGCCTTGGCAGAATCAGCTGCTCACATTCTCTGATTCATTAGACCTTACATACTCTACTGCTTTCCAGGCGATTAGGAAGCAAGAAACTGTCATGGTCCCCAACTGCCTTTCTTCTGCCTCCAAGTACTTCTAGGCAGGCTGCTGCTCCCAGAGCTGCCACAGTGTGCACACGACTCAGGAGTTTGTGGGGACTTGGTGGTGTCTAACTTGTCATTCCTCAGCCTACTCCTCTGAGTCAGGCTCTCCCCAGCTGACTTTATTATCACAACTTCTTCCCTCTTGGCTGCAAACATTGAATATTGTTTTCCAATGACTGCTCCCCAAACTATCATCTCCTATTGCGAGAGGAAGCCAGCCCCATTTGTAATCATCACAGTCAACATCACCAGGTTGTTACTCGTCCCCCTTGCTGCTCTGCGTGCTTTGCTACCGAGGTAATCTCTGACATTAAAGAGAGTGAACTTTCACTGATGTGAACCACTGGTTTCTTGAGGCTGGCAGGACCCCATAATCAGAGAGCAGATTAATCTCCATCCCTTGTGATCCCAAACTCTGAGCAGAACAAATCAGATTAGGATAGTAAAATGACCCTTTATACTTTCATTAAGATCAGTATACAGAATCCTCCCATCCTCAAGGAGGACCACACAGCAGCATGTGGGCAAGGTCAGAGCATCATTCCTAATTTATAGATGGGGAAAATGAGGCTTAAGAAGATATGAGATTTGCCTGCAGCTAGAGAGCTCATTCATAGGACATTCTTGGCAGCTAGGCTAATCTTGTGTATTCTTTGCCCCTCTGTGGTCTTAACAAATAGAAATAAATGATTGTTCACTGAGCTGATGATTGAGTGGCAAGCTAAGATTTTAAATTCAGGGTTTCTCATTCACAGCACAGCGCCTGGGTTGTGAATTTCTCCACTGCACTACCATGGCCTAATTGAGCTCTTAAAGCAATGGAAAAATGCTTTGAAATCTAGCTGCTGGGTTTGCTGGGTTCAGAACACTTCCAACCTGTCCAGCCTATGACCTTGGGTAGGTTAATTGGCCTCAGTGAGTTTCTTGATCTGAAAAATGGGAGATGATAACAGTAACATGCTTCATCACACTTTTATGAGTACTAAGTGAGGGGCACAACAGTGACTGGCTAGTATCTCTAGGAAGTACTGAAGAAATGTTGACCATAGCTATGCCTTTACTTGAGTACAGGAAGTTGACTTTATACCATTGCTAGCCATGCCCAGTTCCAGTGACTGGAACATTCTCCTGAGTGCAGAAGTCCAGACACTCACTTGATAAATTTTGTGATGACTTGAAACAAGTCCTTACCCCTCCTGAGCCTTAATTTCCATATCTGTAAATTGAGAGCTTGAACCAGGTGAATGTCATAGGTCCTCACAGCTTTACAATGCTCCATCAAACTCACTGGTTATCAATGTGGATGCTTTTGCTGACAGGAGACATTTGGAAAAATATCTGGAAATGTTTTTGATTGTCTCATGGTACCAGGGAAAGGGATCCTAATGGTATCTAGTTGTACGGAGGCTGCGGGTATTAGGGGAAAATGCAAAGGTCTGCTCCCTCTCCCCAAAAAAAGAATTCTTCTGTCCCAAATGCCAGTAATATGAAGCTGAGAGACCTTGATACAATTTACACATACCTAGAGTTCTCTTATTTGCTGGGCAAGGGGCTTGGGTCATGCAACTTGCCAAGATGTCCAGGAGAACAGAACTCCTTGATGCAGTAAACAGACTATCGATTGGCCCTTTTGCTGATACCTTACACCCTTACCACATTGATCTTGTTGGAAGTACAAGCTGGCCCAGGCATTTTTAATTTAAAATTGAAATCATTCCTGTACATCATCAAAATCCACAATGGCTCTGTCAGGGCTGGGGAGAGCATCCACCTACCTGAGATTCACCATCCTTGACCACAGACAAAATCCTAGAGATGTGGCTGGAGACCACATCTGCCCCAGCATAACCCTTTCTTCCCTCTCCTGCCTCAATTTACACCCTACAGAGGGCAGCTTATCCCTGATGAAAATTTCCTTAGCAAGAGGATGTATTAAACCTTGAGTTTGGTGTCTATGGCAATGTTGTTCATGGCCTACCCACACTGTGGAGTGGTGGCCTCCTTGTTCTCATCATCTGTGGAGGTAAGGCTGCCGTGAATGTACTAGCATCACATGCCCCAGAGTCATGTATCTTGAGGCACCAGAGGATCTAAAGAACTCTTTTGCAAGGTTCTGTCACCTTTCTTTTTCCGTTCTCCTTATCCCCTGCCCCCGTCCTAACACATTCTTACTTTTCAGGAGGCTTTGGCTTTATTAGAAAGAGCGCAAACAAGGACATGCAGGCCCTGGAATCCACTTTGACACTGCTACTTTCTATCTCTTCTGTATCCATCTTCTCATCTGTTAAATGAGAATCCACTTGGCTGTGATGAGCACAGGAAGATATTGAGGGAAAATCATTTTGCAAGTCCCTATGGCTAGTCATCCTAGAGGAGCACTGTCTTTCTAATCCTGTGCTACAGGGACATGAGCACGGCCATGTGGGAGGTGCAGACATCCCTTTTCACTCGTGAATGTTCCTAGCTTGTCTCTCAAGGTATCTTTAAGTCTGTTCACATATAATAACAGTGATTCTCTGTTTCAACCTCCAGAATCCTAGGCAACACTCTCACTGGTCTCTCCAAGGCTGTATGGGGAAGGAATGTTGAGATGGTAAGTCAGAATAAATGATTCATAAGATTGGTAAATTCTGAGGCTACCACTGGCCTTGCCCTTCTCATGGCTGGGAGACCTTACCCTACGGGCTTCCCACTGGAAAGGGAGTCAAACTGGAAGGAGTCCTGGTGCCTGAAGACAGTTTATCCAAAAAGTGGGCAGCCCAGCCGACTGACACTCCTGATTTCTGGTGACTAGAAAGAGAAGTCCAAAGTGGCATTTCAGAGACAAGAAGATGGATGCAAGTCTAGTGATGGGATCCACATTCTTCCTGGCACAAAGACGCCATTCCTATGTGTACAAAATGTGTTGTGATCATATCCAGTCCATCCACTCCCTCCCTTCAACTTCCCCTAGTCCTTGCTTTTAGCACATCTCCCTTCCAACTTCATTTCCTTTTCTTTTTAATAACCCACTGAGTCCCATTAGTGCTACCCATATGCACATGGGTTTAGGACTCTCTACTGGGGCATGTGCAGCCTACCAGTGGCCATGCCCACAAAGAGAAGTGCTTCTTCCTCTCCCAGCAGCCGTCAACTTCTAAGAAACTCTCAGTTAGAGATGGGACTCAGTAGCACCTCTCCCATCTATGCTGGAATTTTAAGTGGCATGGTTTTATACAGGTGACTGACCACTGCTAATGTGTGTTCATGCATGCAACAGCCATGTCATATCCAGTGAAAGAAAAAAAAAATATATATATTTTTTTTTGAGACATGGTTTTCCTGTAGCCCCAGCTGACCTGGAACTTGCTACACACAAAAAATGAATAATTTAAAAAAAGAAAATTTCAAAAATTCAATAAAATTTGGGAAAAAGAGACCAAGGAACCAAAATAAAAGATTCTATTCCTGCCAGGGTGGCAGTGACTTGTAGTTTCTCTAGGCACAAGTGAGTACAGATGAGTTCTTAGCAGGCAGTGAGGAAGAGACTGCTAAGTACTAGGGAATCGTATCACCTTTCTGGAACAGCAATAGACAGGATTTCCCCTATACATATCATGGAGACAGAGGATGGGTGACAGTCATCCTTCAATTGGGACTCTTCTGAAAAGGTATCTTCTTGGAAGGAAGGCAAGTCTAAGCATAGCTCTAAATCCAGAATTGTTTTCCTATAAACATATTCTAATGAAAGATCACCCTTGTTAACTGAAAAATAATTACATGTGAGGCCTCTCAAAGTTGAGACCTTAGATGCTAGTTGTAATTATGAATGGAATAGGGAGAGAAGGCAGACACGGGGATGGATCAATTCAAGAAGCATTCCACTGTTACTTCCCATAAGGCATGATGGGTCACTGAGCAAGCAAGTGAAATTTCCAGAAAGCTTAGAGGAGTCCCCTTTGATAGGCCTTGGGTGTGACTTCAAGGTTATACATACCTGGGAAGTTCTAGAACAAAGCTCTCTTCCAATTTCTACTGGGATGACACTGTCTTTTCCCTTCCTTGCCCAAGTTCTGCTGGTAAAACCCTCTTTGGGGGAATATTAAACTGATTTCAAATTAGCTGTTTAACATTTTCTTTAGCTGTTTTCTTCTTGGCTCTGTTTGGACTCTGGGACATGAATATCTTTAACATCTTCACATTAAGTGCCCAGTCTGACAGCTGGTCCTCTAACCTCTGAAAGGACCGCTAGCCAGGGCAGTCAGGGGGCCCCACAGATCAAAGCCTGAGGCACTACCTGGGGAATATTAACAGTAATGGCTCAATCTGGACCTACCTATTAAAGGACAATTGTGAGTTTTAAGTAGATGTCACAGAGTCTGGAAATGTGCAACCCAATGCCAAATCACTTTTTATAAAATCGATTTGGACCCAGGGAAGGACTTACCCATGCTTCCCTGGAGTAGGCACCAAGAGAATCTCTCTTCCAGCCTCATTGTGGGGCAGTAGCTGAGCAATGTATCTCCCAGAAGGCTGTAGATGCCTATGCACCGAGACAGCCAGCATGCAGTGCTCACTGCTGCTCCTCATCCACGGGCTCAGGATGGTGTGCTTGGAATCTGCAGAGGTGTTCAGGAGGAGGAAGGAGCCTGGAGAGAGAGAAAGGGAAAACAAATCTGAAGATACGTCTAGGCAGTACCAGTCACAGTTCCGTGAAGGACTAGGAAAACAACAGCACTAAACTCAGATAAGCTAGGGGTCTTTTTTCATTTTATGTGCACACACCCAGCCGCATGCTTCCTCTTACCTTTTCTTTGCAAACAGCCCATCCTGGAGTAGTTGTACAGTGATTGGGGATGTGGGCTTTATGATCAATCAAGACCAGCTTCTAACCTTAGTGCTCCTTGAGCCTCAGGGCTTTTATCTATGAAACAGGAATTAAAGCATCTATTTCAAAGGACTTCTGCTTCTTTGCTTCCTAGATAAGTGATCTTGGGCAAAGCATTAACTTTTTTAGCTTCGAGTTTGTAGAATAGGGTGAGAATGTTTAGCTGAACTCAACAATCGAGTCAGATCTATTTCAGATCTTGTCTGAGTCCTGTGAATTTGCTGGTTTCCACAAAACCTGCTCTACAAATCCCCCTGGTACCACACACTTGCAGAAGAATTTTCTTCTGAGACAAGCGAACCCTTATCCCAGTAGCATGGGCCAGATGACCCAGAAGAAATGTACATTCATGGAGATTACTGTCAGCATAAAAGCAGGGCACCGTTTTATTGTTCCAGGCATTCCCAGGGATGCATTCACTTTACTTGCAGCACTTCTGCATTGAGCGTTTCCACCAGCAGATGCTGCTCCTTTGCAGTGGAGACCTATTCCCACATGAATCCCTACTTTCCCCGTGAAAACAAGCTAATGAGTACTCAGCCTTTGTAAGCCACCTCTGGCACTTTAAAGGTTTCCATTCTGCACAACTCAATTTACCAACTAGGCAAATGAACTAACAGCCTGTGATAAAGAATGGTGCCTTGGAAGAGCAGGATTTCTACCAGAAATAACACATTTCTGAGGACAAATGCATTGCTCCAGGAACCAGAGACTTACAACATGCTCAAAGTAGGCACATGTAGCATTTGGCAAAAATCAGGATAAAGTGAGCATAAGAGCATTTCTGAGCCAATCAGGGGTATGGTGGCAGCACAAGAATTCTGTGTCTGTTAGGAAATTCCTGTGTGGCCTATGGGCATTAGAAAAACGCTCTATAACTCTTGATAAATAATCTATATGTAATCTATAATTACAGTGCTGGAGAAGGTTCTTGTCATGAGCACAGGGGAAAAGGAGAAATTAGAATCCTAGACTCAGAACTGGATACACAGAGTATAACTAATACAAATCTTTGCTCTTCTTTTAAAAAATGCTTTATCATTTTTATGTGTATGAGTGTACTGCCTGCATGTATGTAAATGCACCGTGTCATGCAATGCCCATGGATGTCAGAAGAGGGCATTGGATTCCCCTGGAACTGGAGTTAAGGACAGTTCTTAGCCACCATGTGGGTGCTGGGAATCGAACCCGGGTCCTCTGTACCAGCAGCCAGTGCTCTTTACTGCTGAGCCATCTCTCCAGCCCATGCTTTTCTTATTTATTTACTTATTTATCTATTAATTTATATTTTATGTGTATGAGTGTTTTGCTTACATGTATGTAGTACACCCATGTTGTACAATGCCAGCAGAAGACAGAGGAGGCCATTGGGTCCCCTGGAACTAGAATTAAAGATGGTTGTGAGCCACCATATGGGTTCTGGGAACTGAAACCGCATCCTCTGCAAGAACAGCCAGTGATCTTAATTGCTGAGCCATCTTCAGCCTCCAAAACTTTGCTTTTCAAGAGAAGCAGATTGATGATCCAGATGGGACAAGGATTTGTTCCAAGCCTTCAACTGTCAAGACCAGTTGCTAGATCTCCAGAATCCTGAGCTGTTGTTTTTCCCTTGCATCTTCCTCATCATTACATGGTATCTGTTTGCCTAAAATATGGCAGGGAACTTGGTGTCGAGAGTATTTATTATAGCTCAGCTACTCAGAGGGACACTTCGGGAGAGGTGGAGCAGGCAGGCACTCAGCCAAATTCCTTCCTCCCTCACTGGGTTTTGCTCGCAGATTCCTCATATTGAATGCCTATTTTGAGTGAACTTCCTTGTACAGGCCCTGGGGACACAGACATGAAGCAGACACCATCCTGGCCTTTGAGGAACTCCAGGTCTGGCAAGGGGGAGGAGCTGTCTCCAAGAACTATATTTGGAAGTAGAAGTTACAAAGTTGCAACACATGTAACAGATAAAGCACTTTGGGAAACTCAAAAAGGGGATTTTAGGCCCAGGTAGGAACACTCATAAAGAAAATTATCTTGGCTATTTATTTATTTATTTATTTTTATTTATTAGTTTTTATTGAGACAGGGTCTCCCTTTAACCCCAGCGGGCCTGGAATTCTGCTGGCTGGAACTCTCCATGTAGATGAGGCTGGCTTCCCTCTCACAGAGATCCATCTGCCTCTGCTTCCCATGTGCTAGGATTAAAGACAGGTGCCACCATGCCTGCCTCTATATCTTTTATTTCAAGATTTTATTTTTATTTTAAAACTGTGGGGCAGATCTGACTTTGGTAGGCTCAGGCTGAGACCCTAGCAGACAGATTGAGAGGGTGGGTTCCGACGCCATCGGTGTAGTGGCTCTGATCTCAGCAGACCTCCACAGAGTCTGGAGTTCTGGCCTCCCTTGGGCAAAGGGCCTGAAAACACAGGGAACTGGCTGAGAAACCCTGGATCCTGCCTCCATGTCATGGTGAGCTTCCCCAAATTGCTCCATACCATCCCCCTACCTGGGATTTTGTGAGGCCCCTCCCAAGGCCCCTGGGCAGATCTGGCTTTGGTAGGCTAAGGCTGAGATCCTAGCAGACAGCCTGAGAGGGTGGGTTTGGCTCTCCATTGGTGTAGTGGCTCTGATCTCAGCAGACCTCCAGAGAGTGCCTAGTTCTGACCTCCTTCTGGCCTCTCTCAGACAGAGGGCCTGAGAATGCAGGGGACTGGCTGAGAGCCCTGGGATCCTGCCTCCACGTGGTGAAGGAAGCCCGAGTGTACCTGACTGGAACCTGAATTGGGGCGTCTGTGGGTACTCCTGAATAGCTGATCTGAAGCCATCAGTTCCCTCCAAATTAAACCTGAGAGAATCTGAACCCTGTACCAACCAGCTTTACATAAGCAATAAAGAAAGGATCTAGGCCTGGCATGGTGGCGCTCACCTTCAATCCCAAAACTTGGGAGGCAGAGGCAGGCAGATCTTTGTGAGTTCCAGGACAGCTGGGGCTACAGGGAGAACTTGTCTCAAAAAAAAAAAAGAGAAAGACAGGAAAGCAAAGGTAGAAACAAGTTGGGTACATTCTGGTGTGATCTTCCCAAATCAGGGCCATATTATTACTTAACATTAATTTGACCTCTCAGCCTCTGTGCAATCATCTCTCCCTAAAATGTGAAATTCTAGTATTGTTGTCCATGAGTAACAGGCAGAATCTGCTTATCTTGTCTTCGGAGATCAGAGGAAAGGTAGGCTGCCTCCTAGAAGAATCTGCTTCCCTTGACTTCAAAGGCCAAGGTACTTATCAGCTCAGTTTCCTTTTTCAGGCTTGAAAAATCCAAAGTCCATGGGACCGTGTTGGGGAGGGGAGAGGCTGCTGCTGTTTGAAACCCTAATAGAAACAACAGGGGAAAGCTTCACCTCTAGAATGAATGAAATGGAAAACAGAATATCAACACTGGAGGATAAAGTTGAAGAACTGGACCACTCAAGCAAAGTTTATGGAAAAATTTAAAAAATACAGGAATGGAATATGCAAGAGATGTGGGACAACATGAAAAGACCGAATCTATGGATCATAGGAATAGAGGAAGGAGAATAATTTCAGGTTAATGGTCTTGACCAGATCTAAAACAGGATCATAGAAGAGAATTTCTAGAAATTAAGGAAAGACATCCCCATACAAATACAGGAAGCACATAGAACACCAAATAGACAGGATCAGAAAAGAAATTCCCCATAACATATTATAGTAAAAACAATAAATGTGCAGACCAAAGAGAAAATACTGAAAGCAGCAAAAGAAAAATAAGTCACATACGAAGGAAAGCCCATCAGATTTACAAATGACTTATCAATGCAAACTATGAAAGCCAGAAGAGCCTGGACCAAGGTATTTCCAGTTCTACATGACAATAGATGCCAGCCCAGAATACTTTACCGAGCAAAAGTGTCTATTATAGTTGAGGGGGAAAGAAAAATCTTCCATGACATGAACAGCCTGAAAGAATACATGTCTGAAAACCCATCAAGTACGCTTGAAGCAATACAGAGACTAGAGAGAGAAACAACTATACCCCAGGGGCAATGAAAGAAAATAAAGGTATAATCTAGGAAACACAAAATTAGATAGAGAACAAAAACAGCAATGAAAATGATGGCAACCAATATACATCTTTCAATAACAACCTTAATTAACAATGGACTGAATTTTCCAGTCAAAAGACACAGGCTATGTGAATGGATGAGGAAACAAAGTCCATCTCTTTGCTGTCTGCAAGAAACCCATCTCATCTTCAAGGATAAGCACTACCTTAAGGCAAAAGGATGAAAAGGAATATTCCAAGCAAATGTCACAGAGAAATAAGCAGGGGTTGTAATTCTAATATCTGACAAAATAGACTTCAAAGTAAAACTAATCAGAAGAGATAAGGAAGGTCACTTCATTCTGATAAAAGGAACAGGTAACCAAGAAGATATTACAGTCCTTAACATATATGCACCAAATTTTGGTGCACCCAAATTCATTAAAATAACACTACAGGACTTTCAAGACACAGATTAACCCCAACTCAGTAATAGTAGGGGTGTTCAGTACCCCACTTTTTGGATAGGTCAACTGGACAAAGAATAAACAGAGAGACATCTGAATTAAATGATACCATACATCAAATGGACCTAACAGACATCTTTAGAATATTCTACCCAAGCACTAAAGAATACACTTTCTACTCAGAACCCCATGGAACTTTTTAAAAAATTGATCACATACAGGGCCACAAAACAAACCTC